ATCAATAGTTATGTTTTACATGCATTTTCAACTGTGCAGGGGCTGAGTAGCCCTAACCCCCTTTTTGTTCAAGGATCAGCTATATATATACTCACTGGTAAACTGGAAATAACTTATTACCTCCTAGGGTGATTGTGACAAGTAAATGGGTGATATCCATTGCATGGTGGTTAAGAACATGGTCACAGGTCATATCACAGAAACAATGCTGCTGATTAAGGACCAACTTCGTAAAAGAGCCAATTGAATTTTAAATGGAGATTTCAATATTTATGATACTCTGCTGGCAAAAGTTTGAAAAACCAGTTCTCTGCCTACTCTACACACTTCATTTTGTAAACATCAGGTTTCTTGCATAGGGCCTGGTTTTAGAAGGGACACAAGATTTCAGTTTAGACGAATATATGTGTTGTGGGGTTTTTTGGAAAGGATGAGTGCTAAAGCAGAATATTTTTCTGGATACTTACATAATGATATTTGCTGTTCAAGTTTTATATCTGCAAAGTCCCAAAAGGAAATTCTAAGGGTTAATGTTTCAATATGATTGAAAATTATAAGCAATAATAACCAAATTAGGTAAATTATTTAATTCAAGTGATTTTTAAAGAATTATTTAACTTGGGAACCAGCAGTTAGCGTAATGACTATGTCACTGGACTCCCACGTAGTCGACCGCGGTTCGCATCCCGGACCTAGTGGCTTAAAACTCACGCCGGGCGCGTGTGTGTGCATGCCCAAGATCCCAGGAGGAGAATGGAGGAGAAGGGATTGCGGCGTGACCATCCCCCCTGGGGGGTGATTTCTTGCTTTCTGTCTCTCTGTCTCTGTCTGACGAGCGCACGCGCCCTATAGTGAAAACTTCTCAAAAAAAGAATTATTTAACTTTATTAATTTTACTTATTTATCATTTTAATTTGACCATAAAGGTACAGAGAGAGAGAAAGAGTAAAAGTGAGAAAGCAAGCTGCCAGGTCTGGGACTCAGATCACATTGGCCATGTGGGAGTCCAGCACCCTTAACCACCATGCTACCTGCCAAGTGATTTTTTCAAGTGATTTTTTAAAAAAAAAAGTCTTATAAGCTTTAATTAAGTATACTGTCTGTTTATGCTGTTTTACACATAAGTATTATCTTTTTTCTTTTTTTTCCTTTCATAAAATCTTTAGGTAAAGGAGGTAAAAATAGGCGCAGAGGTAAAATTGAGAATGAATCCGAAAAAAGAGAGCTAGTCTTTAAAGAAGATGGACAAGGTAATTTTTTTCATTGGTGAGGCTTTTTTTTTTTTTTAAGTAACATCTTTTCTTTTTTAAATATGGGATTTCAAGTTCTAAATTTAGCAGAGATCCTAATCATAATCCTGAGCAGTAAATCTCAAGTCCCCTTTGTGCTTTCCAGTTCTTAGCCCCTCCACTTCCCCGGAGCCTTTTTTTGGTGATCGTTTCCTGGTCTACTCAGTTGGCATTGAATGTTGGTGGTATTTCTGTAAACATACAGTACAGTTCAGAAAGGATTAATCTTAAAAAGTTGTGGTCAACAATTCCTTTGTTGATAACAAGTGATGCTACATAGTGTGTAGAGTAACCATGGATATTTGAAGGATGGATCCAAGGCCATTGTAGGCCTTTCCATTCTCCAGCATCATTAAGATATGATTTCATAAAATACAGTAAGGTAAAACTGTACAGATGACTGTCCTTTTTAGACCAGTTTAAGATTTTGTCAATAACTAGACCAAGCAAGGTACATAACACTAGTATAATAAATTCTAACTTGGTCACTGACATTTAATTTATAAGTAATTTTAAATTTTTTATTTTGAGTAATTTCAGGCCTATACAAAAGTTGCAGTACTGATCAAATTAGTTTTCTTTAATTCTTCATCAACATATATATAAATTCACACACACACACACTTTTTTCCTGGACCATTTGGAGTTTAGTTGAAGGCATCATACTATTCTTCCCTTAGCCTTAGTCATCCTGACCTCCATTAGCGGTGGACTTTATTTGAGCAGATACTGCTTTTCGTTTTTCATATTTTTCCCCACTTTGGAACTGAGAGGCTACCTCTGAGTTGGCCAGTCATCTTGAGATATGAGGTGCTAGGTGGGCAGACGGCTTACTATAGTTTCAGTAACTCACACGTCAGTCTCAGTATATTTACAGACTAGTGAATATCTTTGGGAATCAGTCTTACATACAATTTGAATAATCTCAGGAATCTGAGGTGATGTACCCTATAGGATCACTTCCCTCACCCCCCCATGTCTCATCTTCTCAGAGATTTTTTTAAGTGGCGATATAATCAGTGGCTTATTAAGTTCCTGTTTTAGAAAGATTTTGGTTAAAAGTTTGGCATGTTGCCTAGGAACATCTTTCTGGCTTTATAAGCCCTCCAGAGTAATCACCAAGATTTTGTAATTTTACAAAGATATAAACATTTGAGCATTTTTTATTTGCCACGTGTACTAAAAGATGAGATTTGCTTCAGAAGATTCTGAGGGAGGAGAGAGCCCACATTGGGCAAGAATCCAGATGTGAGAGATTAATGATATAGTGTGCATTTTGGGACAGGGCACCTTTGATCTCCAAAAGTCAGCGAATATAGTTACAGAGGCAGTCATGAGTAGATAGGGCCAGCCTGTGGCTTGGTG